GTCCTTTTTATACCCACTAAAATAATAGTGGACATGAAGCCGACCACACACCGAATTCTTAAATTTCACAACTTTCGCGTATATTTTGATGCATTATAAAAAAAATGTGTTAATATGATAACTTTTTGTATTTTATTTATATCAGATATATATTAATTTTGTGCAGATAAATTTAACACAAAATATTTGGAACCGTTCGAAAGAATATTGAATCGAGACCTTATCCACTTGAAACGATACTGTTAATGTAATTACTAACGCTGTGTAGAACTTGACAAACTCTTCTTCTCCTTTTGAAATTTTTGATTCCCTTGATACTTTTTTTGTTGGTGTATGTATACGAATTTATTTATATTTAACACTCTCACTTGTTTTGATGATTAATAAATGGAACCAGACAAGTTTATTGATTTATATCTGCAATATTTTGTGCCATAAGGGTGCATTTGGTGCACTGAACAGGACATGATAAAACAGAACATGACAGAGATCATTGTCCCATGTTTGGCATGAATTTTATGTGGAACAGACAGGAACAAAGTGGAACAAGCCTGTTCCACCCCTATCCCATGGAACAAGATGGAACAGACTTGTATTTTACCAATATAACCTCAAAATAAAACTTAATTCTCTTCTAAAACATCAAATAAGTCTTTTTTTTTTTTTACATTTTATTCATCTTTTAAATTTTATTTATTGTGTTTTATGTTTCTTAAACTTTCATTTCACTGTCCTCAAAATATTATTTTTAAACGGTTTCTATATTTTTATTAATTAATGTAATTTATTATATATTAATAATAAAAAATGATGTAGAAAATAAATAAAAATAAAAATAGAAAACTACATAAACTTTTTATTTGGTGTCATTTTAATTGTTTTGACGAAAACTTCAAATGATATATTTTGTTATAAAAAATAATTATTCTATTATAATTTAATAAATTACATAAATTAATTAAAATAAACAACTCATCAAGGGTAAATTGGTCATTTTACTTGTTCTATAATGTCCAGTTTTATCTTACCAAACGTTGAACATTTGTTCTATTCTGTCTCATTCTATCCTGTCTTGTCTGGACACCAAACACATTCTAAAGTATTATTAACGTATAAAGAACCATAAATCGTATAAAAAAAACATGTCGCTTAAAGTTATCTGACGAATAGTATTTTATGAATTATGCCCCGACTTTACTTTAAGATTGAAATCGAGATAATAAGATGAAATTTTCCATGTCGACAAATTTACCACGACAAATTATTATGATAAAAAATGTATAATACAAATTTTTCGAAAGTCGTTTGAAAAATCACAAAACTTCTTTAAAGATATAAGATTTTGTAAGAAATTGGTGAAAGACTGTAAAATCATATTTTGAAAAGGTAATGAAAATACTTATGCAAACTGACATAAACATTACAGTAAAATTGATTTTATAGGACGCCCAAAATGTAATAAACGTCTTAAAAAATAATTTATAAGACTTAAGTTTATAAAACTAGACTAAAAAGCGTCTGATCTAAAATTTACAGTAGGTTTATAGGTCGCTTTTAGACGTTTTAACAAGTTCTTTTAGAACGCTTTTAAAGTAAAACGTCGTATTAACTATTTCATACGACATTATTTGAAAAAAGTGTCATATAAAATAACTAATAGAACATTTTATTTTAAAAACGTTCAAAAAAAACTTGAAAAAACGTCTAAAAGCATCCTATAAACTTATTGTAACGCTTTTAGATAGAACGATTTATTGTTTGGTCCTATAAACAAACGTTACATAAAGTAAGCTATTAAGACACTTAGAAAATCTATACATCATATAAACCCAATTTTGTTATAGTGAAATATGTTCAGTTTGGTTATTAGCATTTATGCATATTGTCTTCTACAACTTTCAAACAAACTTTTTCGTCGAATTTTTGATTCATTTGTGTAAGATCGTCCAGATGATTCTCTACCAACTTCCGAAAGTTGCTTGTCAAGTTGAGTTAACATAAAAAACGAACATAAAAATGACTCCCATTAAACTAAGGTGACATCTAAAATAAGACCCATGTGTGCAATTTGCTCGTGATAAACCTTTGGTGTTAGGCATTTGGTTAGTGGGTCTAACAACATAGAATCAATTGCTGTATGTTTTATACAAACTTGTTTATTCTGAATTTTTCTATTTGACAACTGGAAACTTGATGTCAATGAGTTACGATTTCATCGAGCTGTTATTGTTGTTGTAGTAAGTACTGTCAACTTTATTATCGCAATAAATCTTTAGAGGCCTTTCAGTGCCATCTACTACATGCTAAAGTTTCGCAACCATACCCTTGTTTGATGCCTCATAACGTTTTCTAGAGCGGAAATGGGTCGATCTGATAGAAGTACCACATATCCAAGAACAATTTCTACAACATATTTCCAATTTATGAAAATCGTCCCACAGCAAAAAGTGAACCTCTTATTGCTTGAGAAAATAGGGACATCTACATTCGCCTTAAATCATATTTAGTTGGGGTTTATGCCAACGCTCGGCACCATAGATGGTGGTCATAAAACCACTCCAGGGGACGGTTTCCTTGTCCTAAGCACAAAACCATCGGGTAAGGTGTATCTCAGCTATACTAGTCACCTCGATTACATGATTTGATTGTGCCGCTAGACACTATCATTTCACCCCTTCCATAGAGCCGAACAAAGCACCATCACCTTTGCAATCAACTGATTCCCAATAACCCACTAAGGCATGGAACTTTGTCTGAGGAGCCACATTACGTCTTGCACAAACAATCGGACCGTCAACTTGCTTGGCCCTAAGTTGGACCCTTTTGGGTAATCATCCTGATACTGTTATCCACATGACATTTTTTAACCTTTTGCAACACTCTCTATTTCCACAACCTCTTCCAAATTATATCTGGTTCGCTAGGTCTCTAGTGTCGTCTTAGCTACTAGTAACTGTTGATATGCACTCTGTATCGTGTAGTATCCCGACACTTCCTTCGTCCATTGCCATCCATCTGTCACGTTTGAGTCACTCAAGGGGATGCTTCTAATCTAACACTATTAATTCCTAATCTTTGGACAGATAAATTGAATGCAAGAGGTACTCCCAATGGATTGATTAAATACCGACAATGACTTCTATCAAACAATAACCTTTTTTAGATCAATTATTGTCCACATGGGCAGTACTTTAAAATGGTCACATATTTATCATTGTATGCACGCTATTATTTTTTCAATTTGCGTCTTCTTTAGAGCTACAATATGAGACGATCTAACTTATATCTATATTTAGGATTTCAAAATTACCCTTCTTTTTCGTACATTATTGACTCTTTATTACCTAATATTGAGTGCATGAATTTAAGCATTATTCTATCTATAAAACAAAAATAAGATTTTAAATTATAATCAATATGGACTTTTGATTCTAAAATCGATGGTTCCTAAAAAAATTGTTTTAACCGAAAAGTTTAAAATGGTGATGAAAATATTAGCATGAATTGACATGGAAACTGAACCGACTTATATTGATTTATATGGCGTGTTACTCTGCATAATCAACATTGTGACTTAAAACGATATCAATCTATATATTGAAGGTATGTACTAGAACGTGTTTGATGATGGAACAAATTTACGATGCTATGTAAAAATGATATGGTTGATGATATTAATTTATGGTTGATGATATTAATTTACAAACAATTATTGATTGATTTTGCGTCTAGAAATACTCAGAAAAATGGTTTTATATGAATTATTGTTATTTCTTGAATCCAGTTTGTTATTTTTAATGATAAAAAACAATATATTAAAAAAAATGTACTTATCGAGAGCTTCCTTTACATCTCGTCAAAATGCCAATAACTGACCTGGAGACAAGAGTGAGACAAACTAAAAAATTGTTAATATACCTTCATTTGATATAACTCTAATATGATATTTGTTTTAATGGTCAACACCGTTCATCATCACTGTCGCTACCACCAGTGGCCATCGATAGCCACCGTCGACCACCATCAGCCACCTTCACTACTACAACCTCATCCACCAACTCCACAACCACAGTCGATCATCTCTACCATACCCACCACCACAACCATCGACTACACTAGCATCACCCACCATCACCTCTACCTTCAACACGTTGGCCACAACTACCTCCTCTAACATTGTCGGTCGCCGCCAGCACCACCACTGTCCATCATCTTCACGTCCTCCACAGTCACACTCGTTGACCAACTTGCATCTACCTCCACAACCGTTGTCGCTGCAACAACCTCCATCGCACCTCTTGTGCACCATCTTTACATCCTCCACATTCACCGTTATCCACCATCAGCACTATCAGCTACCGCTACCATCGTCCACCACCTCTACCCTCACCATTTCAGCTACAACTACCTTCTCCACTACTGCCAACCACTACCACCACCACTGTCCACCATTTTCACATTCTCCACAGTCACCACCGACTCTACTCCCACCACCATTTTCGCTGCAACAACCTCCACCACACATCTTTCCTAAGGATATTTCAAACCGAATAAAACATAGTTTTTCCTGTACGAACCGTTTTTTTCCGACTATCATTAATTATATCAAATTCTTCATTCAAATTTGATACCATTATATATGTATGTATTTATGTATATTAATATTGTGTAAAAATAACTTATCATATAAAATCATGTTCAGTCTTGTCATGTCCTATTATCCAATAGTGTTCTATCCAATCATATATCTGTACCAAAAATCTGGAATCAAACCTTTTTGCCCAAATGAAATTACTTGCAGTGAATTACGATGTCCGTAGGTTTGGTGGGGCCTTCAAAGGATGCCGTTTATTAATTATTTATGAAATCAGTGATGTATTAAATTGTTTTAATGGCCGATTAGATACTTTCTCTGTGTTTTGTTTGTCCAATTGATAGACGGTATGTATATGTGTTGTTGTCATGGTGCGTTAGCGTTAGCTCCAAAGCCGTGACAAATACCTTATATTCAGCATCTCCTCCATTTCAGATTCTCTCTGCTCGCCCAATTTAAGCCTTCAAAACCCGACATAATCACGGATTTCTCTATCTTTTCAGCTAAAAAGGGCCTCTCTTCCTACATGTTTTCTTAGTTCACATGGCTGCCTCATCAACATCTTCCACTTCTTCTCTGTGTTTTCCGGCAACTTCTGCTGCCGGAACCCGTAATTCTTTTCCCACCAATGATACATTCTTGAGGTGTCGCCGGAGCCGTCAATTCACCCAATTGAAGGTTCATAAGTCTGTTGTTCGCTCGGATTTGGACAGAGATGTTTCAGACATGAGAAATAATGGTAACTTGGGATATATATAATGATGTGTGTCTGTTTCAAGTGTTCTTTGTTTTGATTAATAACAGTCACTGTGCTTCTGGTTATTAGGCAGTTTTTGTATTTCTTACCTCTCTAATATTAGATATTTTTTGTTGATTTCTTCCAAATTGCTTGCGAAATTCAAATATGAAGTTGGATTTGTTACTAAGATATCACCAGATTTTGAAATTGAACTAGTTGGTTAAAAGTATAATCTAATTAGAGTTCCTTATGGGAAGTTTTCAATCCCCATATCCGACGTATCTATTTTTCTTCTTCTGGAATTGAGGGAGTATAACTGGTTTTCTATTTACTGTTAACGTATATATTTTTATATAATTTGATCACCTGACAATCATTGTGTTATTTATGGAAGTTTCATTGGGTCGTTTTTCCATTACGTTTCTCAATCCTATTATCTTGTAGTGACTACAAATTGGGACGAGATTTTTTGGCGTCATGGTCCAAGTTCTGTTGATCTTTCATGAGAAATTTAGGCTGCAATTTTTACACCCACTTATAAATTTTGATGAATGCATAGGATTATTGGACGATGATATCTCAGCTCTTACCATAATTGTGATGAGATATATACATGAACTTCGCTAGTATTTTATTTTACACATTGGTTTCCAGAACCACTAGAATAAAATTGTGGGAGTGCCTAATGTAAAGGCGAAAGTTGCTGTGATGTTTACCTTATTTCCATATGTCAATTTTTTAGTATCATAACATGGTATTGAGTTTAGCTTTGTTGTTGTGTTACTAAATGATCAGCTCCAAAAGGACTATTTCCACCAGAACCTGAACATTATCGGGGGCCCAAATTGAAAGTGGCTATCATAGGTGCTGGCCTTGCTGGCATGTCAACTGCGGTGGAGCTTTTGGATCAAGGGCATGAGGTTTTTTTAAAAATTTTCTTTCATGCCTCTTTTGATTTGGCTCACAATATCTTCTTAACCATCTTCCGTGTATGGCTTACATTAAGCACTACAGCCTGGCTATTAAAAATGTGATGAAATGGAAGTTGAAAATCTGTTGCTTATGGCATCTGTTAATGCATGCCTTATGGTGCTTTCTGATGAAAATTTACTAAAAGATGTTAAATACTTCTCACTGTTGGACAGTGAATTTGTGTAACCATGTTTTATCAAGTTTACACGTATGAGATCACATCAAATTCTCACCACACTTGAACTTCTCTAACTCTACAGGTGGATATATATGACTCAAGGACCTTCATTGGCGGAAAAGTGGGTTCATTTGTTGATAAACATGGAAACCATATTGAAATGGGACTACATGTGTTCTTTGGTTGCTACAATAATCTTTTCCGTCTTCTGAAGAAGGTGAAATACTTGGTTTTACTCTAGTGATCTATTATTAAGCTAGTTAAGTGATTGTACAGTAAAAGTTGGGATGCATAGAGTAACTGGCAAGTACAATCCAAAAACATGCCCTGGGACAGTTTTCTTCCGATATTAGGGGAGACTGGATTTGTATTGCTCCAAATGCATGCATATGTTCCAACTTTTCCGGTTATGTCAACCTACTTTGTCTACTTAAAAGTAGTCATGAGATAGATCATGCGAGACCTAGTCCAGATGGTACACTCCCAGTTTGAAGCAGCAGGTGTGGCTGTGTTTTGGTGGTTGGTTTTCAGGAGGGTTTGGGTCTGGTATCAGGAGATTCGAGTTCTGATACCATGAAAATGTTAAAAAAAGCATAATTATGTCATTGAGCATAATATCGAACACTAAAAAAATATGAAACTATCTTGTGTATAGTAACTTTCATTTGACCTTCAAATAGTTGTAACAAACTTTTTCTGGCCTAGTTTGTCAGCCGAGACTAGTAGGAGCTTCACCCTTTCATTTGTGAGCATCCCTCATGTAAATGTGATTCCTATCTTAGAACTTCAATGAAGTGGTTGTGATTTCTGGTGATTTCAAGTGCTGATTTCTCAGCATTATCTCTTGGAAGCTCTAGAGACGATGTTATCAGGAAAACAGACCCTTGCATCCTAAATGTAACATAAATGCCGCCTTTCCCTTTTTGACAATCTTTTAATCAAAAATTACCTCTTTCCCATTAGTAGTTGTTACATATAATTGGGTAGCATTAACTTGGTCCACGAAGTCCTCTATTTTGCCATTTTGAGGGATATTTAGATACCATACTAGTAGTCACACTTCCATTAAACTATATTCCGTATCAAAATTTGGATTTGTTTTTGGAATGAAGGGAGTATTGGACTGGTCAAATTTAGATACCATACCTCAGATTCTGAACAATAGGCCATTGTCTGTATTTATTTCAACATGAGTGTCTTCTACCACTTTAGGAGTCTTCATAAAACCTTTGTCAAATTTCTTGGCCATGAAATATTTTGACTCCGGTTTCTGACTGCCCTCTTGTAATTGCTTTAATTTATAATTCAGCATAACAAATTAAAGATGATGGATAGGGATTTGAATTCTTTTGCAGATCTGAAAAAAATGTCACTACTGAGATGTACATTGTAAGGATCGTTTATAAGTTTTCTGGGTTTTGTATGTTACCCAGGTTGGTGCTGAGAAGAACCTCCTTGTCAAGGATCATACTCACACTTTTGTTAACAGAGGAGGAGAAATTGGTGGTAATTTTTGAAGCTTCGTTCAAAAATTCTTCATGACTTGACTTACGCTTTGAATATGTTTCTGTTACATACTTGATATAACCTTGCTTTTATGTACTCTCTGCAGAGCTTGATTTCCGCTTTCCTGTTGGGGCACCATTACATGGAATTAACGCATTTTTAACTACAAATCAGCTTCAGGTAACATGCTGTTTGTGGAATTAATTCCCTATTAACTAGGCTACTCCTCAATCATATATGCTAGTTGTTATGATAGTAGCATATTTATGTTATGTTGGAAAATATTGGTACATAAGCAAAAGGCTCTTCCCTCTTTGTGTGATTAAATGAGCAGAATATAAATGTGAAACATAAGTAGACGAGGACACCAAAGGTTTTACATGAATATGGAGGGAAGGAAGAAACCATGGGACCAAGGCCCAGAAAATATTCTACAAACAAATTTAGTAGGATTACAGAAGCTGTATGTAGCATAAAACTAGAGGATATCTCTCATAGGACCTCTCCCAAACTAGATGGATTGCAACAATTGACAATTTCACAAAAAATGGTGGACCGCTCAAATGAACACTTGAAATATGCAGATGATCTCTCTCTCTCTCTCTCTCTCTATATATATATATATATATATCTTTCTCACTCTTTCTGTAGGATTATCTCACTTGTGTTTTGGATGCAAAACCCCTCAAAAACTTATGGGTCTCCAAGGTCACACCCAATTCAATGGTGAATCAAACACCCTTCTACTTTGTGAAGACCCCAGCCACATCACTTTCTTTTTTGTTTAATTGTTGTGGGGACCTCTAAATAAGCAGGGAAATATAACATGTCCTCTTATAAATAGTTGTAGAAGTTTAAAAATCAACACGGTATTATGACTACTTAATCAAATCTATTTAAACCGACGATTTACCATTGTATATATGTTCCTGGCAGCTTTCTATGAGTGCCATAATTTTGGAGCAGGATACAAATAATTATAAATCAAGTTAGAGAATTTAGAAGCATCCAAATGATCTTGATACAACATAATCAGTGCAACCTAAAAGTACGCAGGTTTTGGCATTCTGGAAGAGAACGTAATGTTGGAACATATTCTGGGTGTGATCTTAACTGATGATGACTTTGTAGAGAAAGGACTTTTCACAGGAAATTCCTTGATTCGTAACTAGGTAACACTAATACACTATTACCATAAGCTTCTGCATAAACCTAATCTTGAAGAAAAGGTCATATGATGATGACTTGCCTAGATGGATGGCTTGCACCAGCATACAAAAACATACTTCTCAACATTTCCTTTGGCATTACGTAGGCTTCTGCTTTAGTGTTTCTAGCAGGCTTAATTATGCACAGTTATTCAACCTTTGTGCATTGCTGCTATCGATTTCAGAACTATTTCATTCCTTGGCAGGATACCATGCTTTCGATAGATAGCAATGGCTTGTCCTTTTTGTAACACTTAAAGAGGAAAGGAAGCTTATATTATATCTCGTGCCCTAATCATTTCCCAAATATGCACAAGTTAGGATTATGAACTTACTCCTTATCTGTTATATTATCATATTGTGATATGCAGCCATACGATAAAGCCAGAAATGCTGTGGCTCTTGCTCTAAGTCCAGTTGTGAGGGCACTTGTTGACCCGGATGGAGCAATGACACAAATACGCAACCTGGATAATGTAAGAACCATCTATAAAAGTTTAATGCTTTCATCTAGTTTTATGTGTTTGTTTCATGGAGGTGATAATTTACAAAGTTACACTGCCTCTGAATGTCTCGACTCTTTTCGCAGATTAGCTTCTCTGAGTGGTTTATGTCTAGAGGGGGAACACGTACGAGTATCCAGAGAATGTGGGATCCTGTTGCCTATGCTCTTGGATTTATCGACTGTGATAATATCAGTGCACGTTGTATGCTCACCATTTTCTCATTATTTGCCACCAAGACAGAGGCCTCGTTGTTGCGCATGCTTAAGGGTTCTCCTGATGTCTATCTGAGTGGTCCTATCAGAGACTATATCATAGAGAAAGGAGGAAGGTATGAGCAAATAAAGTTACTTTTGGTTACAACACAACTGATCCATCTAAAGAATAGGACTCAAAATTATATCTCACAATAACAATATGAAAGAAATCCATCTCAAGCAGCAAACATGAAATAAAGACCTTTTATCAAGTCAAATACCAAAGCAAATCCTGGTTAAAAGAGAAGTCCCTATAATGCGAGTATTATAAAATATGCCAACTCTAAACTTCTTAAGAAATAGCACTGGCCCAGGCTTCTGCAGTTCTGCTATCCTTACTCATATATTGCAACCTTTTACGTGTCTCTGGATCCCTGTCAATTTTCTTCATTAAGCGACAAGCTTTAGCTGCACAAGTAAACTGGCAGTATAATTCAAAGCAACGAGGATCAACACCAGCAACACCTTGGTTTACATGTGGAAGCTCGATCCAAGAGATTAATGAACCTTTGAGACACCAAGCATAATATCTATGGTCATAACACTCCAGGTTAGATATGATGACAACATGGTTTTGCTAGCAGCATTTCCAAGGGAAGCTCAAACATAAAGGCAGTTACCGGTGGCAAAAGCTTAAAAGTCTAGAAACTTACCTGCTCATCAATCATCACCCATCTGACTTCTGAGATTATTTACTGGGGAGGGTTGGGGTAAGTAAATTCTAGTGGGTGGTCTAACATGTTCTGAGAAATATTTACCATCCGAAAAGAGGAAAAAAAACGGAGTCTTTGTCTAAAGAAATGCGTTTAAAGATCTTATCGAAAACTTACAGCAGCTTGCCAAACAAAGGCTAAAAGAAAAAAGAACAGTCGGACAAGTGGGGAATGTTGGGGTGAACCAGAAAAGTTTGGGTAGAGTTAAACTTGGAGATGGAAGTCTTCTTTCGTTTCTCAACAGTGAAGTAAGACCAAGCTGTTGGACTTGTCAATAGATTCATAACTTTTAGAACACAACCAATCTCTATTCAAACCAACAAATAAGTACTTGGTCCAAAAAAATCCAAGATAAGCTATCAGAAAAGATGAAAAGGAATCAATACCCATAACTGTGGGGGGGGGGGGTGACCAGTCTTACTCTCTCTTGACTGCAAAGGAATGCAGGTTCCAAGTTGCAATTAGGTATGGTTCATGTATGATCTTGTGGTCCAAAAGGCTTGTTTATTGTATAATTACTTTCATAATTATCAAAGGAGAGTAATGTGTGAAAAAAGGAGAAGGATGGATGAAGGAACATATTGTCATATCAACACCATGGAACTGTCGACTGTGAAAACATGCTCCCACATAATGTTGCACAAAGGAGGTCCTAAGAACAATCTGAAAATTATTCCTCATCACAAGAGGTATCTCTAGGGTTTTTCATGTTCATGATAGAGTAGAAACATGTTAAAAATAAAATTCCTACATAGAAGACTGTTTAGCATGGTATGAGCTTGAGGAAGATGACTAATGCTAAACTGATGATGATCTATTTTAGGTCATAGATTCAGAAATAGGGTTTATTAGGGTTTCATATAACCATACCAAGTGGCTATCGTGTGTACTTCACAAATAATAGAATTCCCCAAGTAAGAGGTGCTTTTTTCAGGCTCTAACTAGTAATATTGAATCAGAGCACTAGGTTACAAGCTGGGAGAGTCACCTCAGGGAAGGAGAAGTTTGCTGTCAGCAACTGCGTAAGCCTATACAATTTTCTGTTGTGTTACTTTGGTCCATTCTCTAAGGTTTTGCTCTCTATCTCTGAACATCCTTGTCCATGATCTCCTGTCTTTACCAGCTGCTAGTTTTCAGCCTCTAGTTTTGTCTAACTCCACTGTCGTATATTCACGATCAAACATGCGGTCTATCCCAGGGTACTGTCTTCAATGATGCACCCTCTGTAATCCTTCACCAGATCTGCTTCTGTTGTCATTTGTCAACATATGTGTAATCTGCAGCATCTCTTTAGTGTAATTCTTCAGCTTGATTTTGTTGTCATCTATCTCACCTTGTGATGTCTGGATAGAGGAAATCTATGGTTGGCTCTTCTGTTTTGTTTTTTTATTTGGAACCATAAAGAGAGAGTGAAAGGAGTCGTCAGTCTTATCGTGTTGACATCCGTCACCTATTATCTGGGCCAACACCTTTCAGACTTGGTGCTGCAACGACACCTGCTGCATCTGCTATGCTGACACACCCATCAGACCAATCACCTCTTGTCAGATCTGTTTGTTACCTATTAGATCAAGCATATTAGTTATTCTGCCAAAACATGTTACCCCTGTTCGTTGTTGTGTCTACGTCTGTTGGACCTGTAGCTGGTCCATACCTAATGAAACACATCCAGCAAGTGAGTAAAGAAGCACACCTAGCTTATCCCTGATGAAGTCCATCTAACTAGTTCCTAATGGAGCACATCCGGCAGTGCTAATGAAGAACATGCCCAAAAGAACACATCCTCATCCATAATAGATCATTTTTGTTGAATCTTAAACATTAGCAGCTGATATTTGCCACTGCCACATTTTCCTTGAACTCTAATATAGACTTGTTTCTCTACTTATTAAATGCCAGGGATTCTGTTTTAGTTGGAAACTGGTCTAAAAAAAATTCTGCTCCTTTGATATTGTTTGGCATCTAGCTCTTCTCTACATCAGGAGCAGCACATTAACATGTGTGAGGCTCTGTTTTTGAATTCTTTAGTTATCACTACTAATGGAAAGAGAGCAAAGTGCGAATATGTTGTTTCAGATATTGCTATTTATTTGTAACTTATATGCTTATTGCTACTCCAGGATCCATCTCAGATGGGGGTGCCGGGAGATTCTCTATGAGAAATCAGCTAACGGGGAGACATATGTTACAGGACTTGCCATCTCTAAGGTACAGTCATTCTCCTATGTATTTAAATATTGGGGGTTTACATAAAGGTTACTTATGCAGGAGATGTTTAGGGAGTTGGTCTAGGAGGTTCAGGCATAAGGTGGCTGGCATTAGGAATATTTAAAATAGAACCATAGCTCAGGTGGAGAGTGAAGCGAGTCAGTGAGGGCTCTGGAATTCCAGAGAGGGAAAGTGTGTATGCCAAAATGCTCATGGTAATGAGACTGTCTTGTTGATTACCCTGGTTTATGTGTGCCACAATGATGATAGATGGTCTAAGCTACATTTTATATCTGCTAATAGCCGAGGATATTTGGTTATTTTATATTGTTAGGAGGGAAACATCATGGGTGAGTCATTGATTAGATATGGGATTGTCTCATTGGTCTGTGTATCTTGATAAATGGTCCATGCTACATCTCTTCTATATTATGTTCGTGACAGAGGACAGATTAGTTTAGGTTTCAAGCAATTTCCCACGTCTTTGTAATCTCCCCAATCTGCTTAGTGGATTCTTCTCTTGTCGCCATGGTTTTTTTTTCCTGCTAGAGTTTCCAAGTAAATCTCTGTGTTTGATGGTCTATCTATATTTCCACTGATTTCTGCAATTTGGCACAACAGTGGTGGCTCAACATTTGGTGCATGACAGGTCTAGAACCACTACCTTTATTAAATTCTTGATGAACAGATTAATGAGAGTGAAAAGAATCAAGATAGAATAAACAAAATAGGATTGACTTGACTCCCACTACAAACGGGGTCTTTTTGGTCTGAGAAATAGCAAGTGCAAGCCACCTAGTATTATTTATTTTAAGAATTAATTCCATAGGAACTATTTGAGATTTACTTCCGATTCTTTTTTTAATCCTTTACACTTGAAAAATCCCTATAAAACAATTCAACTTTCCAGAATTACAATGTTTTAATCCTTATGACCTGGAAGCTTGCTATTGTAGCTTAAACCTGAAAAACATTAATTGCATAAAAACCCATAAAGGTTTTAAATTATTTAATATTTATATACGACACATGCAACAAACTCACACACCCTCCTCACCTTTAGTGAGGATTGAACCCCTGAACTCTTGGGAGGCCATATGTGTAGATACCGCTAGGCCAAAGGCCCTTTGGTCCATAAAACTCTTCTCAAGTTTTTATTTCTATATTTATTTTCCCTCTAATTTGAATATATAGTTTAAAATAATTTTACCTTAATATACATAATCCAAGTAGTTCAAACCTGTTTTAATTTTACTGTTTTTGATTTAATTATCTCTTACATTTGTTGTTAATTTAGTTTGATTTTCTTTTTCCTTCTTACAATCTTTATCTCAATTTGTTTAATCAACCTTCATCCATTAATTTTAGAATTGTTTTCGTTTGAGTGAGTGGGTATGTTTATGTTCTTACTTAATTCCAAGTTTCCAGTTGCCCCACTTAAAAATCCGGCAGTTGGTGAAACCTCACAGCTTTTTTACGATCTTTCTTTTTTGCGTAATGCCGAAATTGTCTGCTCAAATTATTGTTGGCAGGTTAATGTTGATGTTTCACATTGATCCTTTTACATGTATATATATTCGTAATAAAAAAAGTCATTTAATGCGTTCTTCATCGAACGTTTTGTTGATTACCCATGCTGTTGAAACCAGATTCACTTAGAAAATATTGCAACTCTTTTACCATATATAAGTTTGTAATAAAATGATCCTTTCTTATATATTATGATAAAATGAAATCAATGCAATAAGGGAGCTCTTGATGGTACTGTGCATTCCATTAGTGTGAAGATTACTGACGTCTTTGAGCTTTTCCAGGCTACTCAAAAGAAAATTGTGAAGGCAGATGCATATGTAGCAGGTTTGTATCTATTAATATCACCTCATCCCCCAAAAGAAAGAAAACAGAGAAATCTTTTCCAAAAAAATTCAGTAATTAACACAATCCCATCAAATGGCAGCATGTGATGTCCCTGGTATTAAAAGACTTCTGCCGTCTAAGTGGAGGGATTGGGAATTCTTTGATGATATCTACAAACTAGTTGGTGTTCCAGTTGTGACAGTACAACTTCGGTATAATGGTTGGGTAACAGAATTACAGGATCTAGAACGATCTAGGTGAGTTTGTATGTCCAGATCCCTTTCACACCGAGGGGTAGATGTGCTTCCATCCCCCCCAATCTTTAAGGATTTTATACAGATGGGGAAGGTTCAAATGAGATTTTGAGAACCATGAGAACTAGTATATGCAGATATATGCATTGATGCATATACACTATTGAAATATGTACATGTTAATTATCATATTTATCAATGTATATGCATTATATATATAGAGTCAGGTTCAAGGGAAAACAGCAAAAAATGGCTAACTGAGGAACACTCTAATAACCTTTCATTTGTTCTGTATACACATGTGCATAAAAGTAATTGAAACGTTTCTTGGTTTCTATGCACGTTTGCATTTTATGCACATGTGCATACTGGACAAATGAATGGTTATTAGGGTGTTCCTTAATTTTCGATTTTTTGGGGTTTTCCCTTGAACCTGAGTCTATTAATGTATATGTACTATATATAAATGTACATATGCATTGGTGCATATACTCACTTAAATTCATATAGTGTATATGCATATGCATATACTGGTTCTCACGTTTCTGAAATATTTATAGTTCTCATGTGAACATTCCCCTTATACAAATGTTGTTTCTAAAGTAACTTCTTAATTTTTGATTTCTAGGCAATTGAGGGAAGCTGCAGGTTTGGACAATCTCCTATATACCCCGGATGCAGATTTTTCCTGTTTTGCAGACCTAGCACTGGCTTCACCAGAAGATTACTATATTGAAGGACAAGGCTCATTGCTCCAGTATGCGATGCTTATAAACTTCAACTCCTTAATTCTTATGAGAAGAACATTTATGCGTTCTTTACACAATTCCAAACACCCACGCACACATTTGGTTAGGAAACACATTTGTTTTTGAGAACTGAAAGGGGTGAAACACAAACCTGACTTCAAACAGGAAACTGCTACGCTATGAGCCTGGTGTTACCCCTATGGCTCACATATGAGTATGGCCAATATATTGTATGCTGCATTTGTTAGCAGTTTAGTGCATCTATAACTCACAGTACTCTTTTACTGTGCAGATGTGTGCTTACCCCAGGGGACCCATACATGCCTTTACCAAACGAAGAAATTATAAGCCGGGTTGCAAAACAGGTTGGTGGCAGACATCATTTTTATTATGTTTCTAAGTATTTGGTTATTCAAAGTGTGAGAATATGTGGAGCCTCTTAGATTGCTCTCCAAAAGAGCCCTTGAGGAGAGAACGATGGTTCCAGCATCATATATATATATATATATAGAGAGAGAGAGAGAGAGAAGAAATGGTCCAAATCTAGCGGACGTGGGACTCTAAAATACAGTATATAGTATTTTAAGAAGAGTTGGCGCTTGATTAGATTTTTCTGAAGTGCAAAAACTATGGGATGAGGGCGTAGTGATGGGTAGAAAGTTTCATAATGTGGTCAGATTCTTATGGTTTTTAGTCGATGGAGTAGGTTTTGGCTCTCTTCCCATCTTCCCAAGGTCTTGAAGTTACCTGGTCATCGGTGGTGAAGATTGCACAATCTCTGTATCGAGAGGGACCTGGTAAAGATCCATTTAGACCTGACCAGAAAACACCAATCAAGAATTTCTTCCTGGCGGGTTCATACACAAAACAGGTCTTTTTTCTTGGCATTTTCATAAATTCCGTATATATATAACAATGAAGTCTAGTCTTTTTTAAGTGTAGATTGGAATTATATTAACAGTTATTGGGGTGATGCAGGACTATATAGACAGCATGGAAGGGGCAACATTATCAGGCAGACAAGCTTCTGCATTTGTATGTGATGCTGGAGAAGAGCTTGCAGGCTTAAGGAAACAGATTGCATCCATTCAATCCATTGGAGTTGATGAGCAGCTTACTCTTGTTTGAAATTAAGTATAATGCTTCTTGTATAATTGATTGGCTGGGTGAAGTAAAATAAATACATCCCCAATTTATTTTATTTTGATTTAAAAAAAATCACGGATTTATAGTTTCTTATATTCGGTCTCCAATTTCTGAACTAGTAATGAGTGGACTAGAAATGCACAAAAAGCCGAAACTCAAGCCTGAATGGCCCTGAAAAAGCTCGAACCTAGTGAGCCTGAAGTCCAGGCCACACACATGACACATGTATGTAAGTGTAAGTTATATAGTTGTACGTATAGATATACATTTATCAATCACATCACATACGAACAATATCATAATCGTATCATTTGGTTGCATATTTACAATGACATTTAGTGTTGTTAGCTTCTGATGCATACTGTTTCAGGTTGACCCTGCCCACTAATCAGCTAGGGGGACCATTGCATGGGGCGCTACTCGATAACCCACAAGGGGGCGCGACCCCCTTGACCTCGTCATTAGTCAATCCTGAGTTGAAGTTAGCTTTATTTGCACCTCATAACACGTGTTAAAGCTTGACTAAAAACCCTTTAATCTGATAAAAATCTCAATAAGACCAAATGACTATCACACTAAAGATGATATATCAAAACTTTTCAATACACATATGATTAGGGGTGCTCATGGGTTGGGTTGACATTTGAACAACCCAACCCAATGCTTGCGGTTTGAAAAATCTTAACCCAACCCAACTCAAATCAAAGTGCAACCCAACCCAACCCGTACGGGTTGTTCGGGTTAGTCGGGTTGATACTTTGGTACATTAAAATATTCTTCTAACCTTGAATCTGTTATTTCTTTTTCATCATCAACCATTTGATACAACTTATCCATACTTCTTACGTATATTACATTCAGTTAATTTTCTCAATTTACATATAAATGTTCACAGTTACTGAATATATATACGAATGAGTTATATAGAGATGTAAATAGATTGAAAATATGTGTATATGAAGAGCATACATGATAGTATAATCGTCTAATGTATATATTATTAGAAATTCAACAATCATATTAAATCTAATAAATAAAAGAATATCAAGTTCATCGGGTTGGGTTGAGTTCAAATAATAGTAACCCAATATCAACTCAATACCTACAGTTTGACAATTTTACAACTCGATTAGACATCGGGTTGCTTCGGGTTAAGTTATTTCGCGTTGGATTGGGTTGGATTGATCGGACTTCTGAGCACCCCTACATATGATCACTCAAAGTTGGATCAATAGTTATATTTATATGTCAAATATTTTTCAAATTTGGAAGCCTGTATACGTCTCAGTTAAATTTTTTTTTCCAAAATCTCGTCGTTGAAAAGTATAGAGTCAAACTGCAAAAATTCAATATATCTGACATGGATATCTAAAGTCTATAATATAAACGTTCAAAACACTAACAAAAAGTATTTGAAACTTTTAATGAAATTACGAACATGTTTGACACTCGAACCTGAGAAAATTCTTTCATTTCAACAACATTCTTTGTTTTCAAAACCACGATCAAAGATTTACGGTACAAAAAAACTACCATTCCTTAAAGCATTTTTTACTTTAAACTCAATCAATTGTACATGAAACCTATCTCCAAAGACACTAATGTGAACAGATATTTCTTAACTCATTCAACTCACCTTATTACCAATTGAGCTACACGTCAAAGACCTAAATGTCTTCTTAATGATGGAAAGTACGGACAAATGTGCAAAGACGATTATAATTCGAGATATGTTAAATCATATATTAATTAACCGGAATTTTTTTAAAAAATTAAAACATATGCATTCATATATACTTAGGAGTTGTTTGGCAGTTGCTGAATAGTTTGGTACAAAATGATCAAGTGGTCAGAATAATTAAGAAGCTCTCATGATATAATGCAAAATGAAATATAATTGTTTACAATGAAATTAAGGCGCCAAATGGTTAAGGGAGGCCCATGATACAAAATCATTCAAGGGATTTTAGAATCATTAAGAGACATATATTTTTTCTACCAAATAAGATTCTCCTTTTAACGATTCAAATAATACATCTTAATACAACTATTAAAAGGTAAACAAACAACCTTCTGTGAACATATTGATGGTCAATCTAATTGGCACCATGGCCCACATGCTATGGCCGCCATTGAACCAAATGAAATCAAGACAGATAAAAAAAATCGATAATAAATTCGATATAATTTCTTGTATCTATTTACTGGGTCTAATCCTTCACGAAAAGTAAGAAAGTCTGCAAACATAAATAGACTTGGGATCATGTGAGACCAAAGGTTTTTCATGAGACCCATAAGACCAATTCCTAACCCTTGAATTAGATTTACGGTCTGAACATTCATAATCATCAGAAGACTTCTCAATAATCATAAAATTGCTGCCATACAACTTAGACCATTAGATCATCAGCTTATAAAACTAATCAATGAACATAAATTGGTTGGACGGGTCCATAAACCCAACCCAACATAAATATGACGAGAATTAGGTATTAGAAACAGATGTAATGGACGTAGTCATATTATACAAACATGAAGAACTCGAACAGAGGTGCAGATCATTGCACCTCGGATGGAGTCACTTGCAACTAGTTTACTGGAGTTGTAATTGCTCTCGATCTCAGTTGTGGCAACCTCAAAAGTACCATACATCTTCGTAAATCTGTTGTTTCGATCGATACAAGAATTGAAACTCATGTTTTCAAGAATCTCCTTGGAGGAAAAAATCCCCCTTTCGTATATGTTCATCTTAATCTCCATTAATTAACATTCTGGATCTGTTCAGCACCATAGATGATCATCCATTGGTTCTTCAAGATCCGAATATGTCAAAGAAGAGAGATTAAGATTAAAAAGGGAAGTTCTTCTGAAATAAGCAATTGCTGCGATGGTACTTCTGAGCATGCCACAGCTGGAATCGAGAGTAATTAGGGTTTCCAGAAAACTTGTTGCGAGTGATTGAGATTCCATCCCAAACACAACCATCCGCACTTCTGTTCCAATTCATCATGTTGGGATGATGACTAGAAATGAGTGATTGTCGACGTGGGTGATGGATTTGTGTTTTAAGGCATAGAGCAGCAAGGAGAAGAAGAGATAATGTTGGATGAGATAGAGAAAGAGAAAGAAAAATAACACAATATTTAGTTATTATCTTTTTAAAATATTATATTATTAAATTTAAATTAAATTTTAATTAAAAAATTAATTAAGAAAATTACATTCGAATTTTTAAAAAGATTAATTTGATACTGATATCAATATTTTTTTTTTCAAAATTTTATGGTATTTTTAAATTTATATTTTATTCAAAAATAAAAATATTATCGTTTTCTCATAAACACATAAAAATGTATTATATCGACATAAAAAAACGAAACACTAAAATCAAGATGTGTCTCGATGCATTGCACGAGTACCCTTAGAAGGGTACTCGTGCAATGCATCGAGACACATCTTGATTTCAGTGTTTCGTTTTATTCTTTTTTTATGTCGATATAATACGGTTTATGTGGTTCTGAGAAAGCGATAATATTCTTATTTTTTAATAAAATATAAATTTGAAAATATCATTAAATTTTGAAAAAAAAATATCGATATCAGTATCAAATTAATCTTTTTAAAAGTTATTATGTTTCGGTGTAATTTCCTTAATTCAATTTTTTTCAATTATAATTTAATTTAGGTTTAGAAACAAAGAAATTTAATTTTGGTTTAATAATATAATTTTTATAAAGATAATAACTAAGTATTTGTTAGAACTCAATGATTATGCTAATTATATTTTAGATTTTTTATATTTAAAATGAGATGTTTATCCAATATATTTGATTATCTTTATCTGCAGTTAGTTACACGAATTCAAATATGGAGCTTTAATAAGTTGTACTTATGTACAATTTACTTGTAATCTTAAATTTTAAGTAATATGGATCAATAAACAGTACTTCATGCATAAAAAATGATTTTTAAGAGTTTTTGTCAAATGCTTTATAATATAATATAGATTAGAAGGAAATTTGTGCAATTCAGCGAGATACATCTTGATTTTAATATTTCATTTTATTCTTTATTTCAGTCGATATTATAGTATGGTCTTATGTGATTTTATAAAAACAATAATGTTTTTATTTTTGAATAAATTTGAAAATATCATAAAAAATTGACAAAAATACATCGATATTAGTATCAATTAACTATTTTTTGTGTAATTTTTCAATTCAATTTTTAATTATAATTTAATTTAGGTTCAATAACGAAGTAATTTATATTTGGTTTAATAATATAATTTTCTTATAAAGATAATAATTAATTATTTTGTTAGAATTCGATAATTATCCTAATTATATTTTAGATTATTTATATTTTAAAATGAAATATTTATCATCTATTTGATCATGTGTATCCCTAGTTGGTTACACGATTTTAAAAATCGAGCTTTAATAAGTTATATTTATGCATAATTATTTGTAATCTTGAATTTTAAGTAATATACATCAATATATGAAATTTCATGCATAAAAAATGATTTTTAAAAGTTTTTATGAAATGTTTTATAATATACTATAGATATAGGATATAAAAATTAAAAAAAAATACATAAAAACAAAATACTAAATCATAATAATTTACACAAAGAACTCAATAAAAACGTGCACATTTTAAATATTTGGTAAACATGTGGAAAAGATGGTTTCACGTGTTGCATTTTTATCCACAAGATGTTGTGGTCCTTATTGCTCCACTTGCATATCGACACCACACTTTCTTATTTTTCTGAAATTACGTACATTCGATAATATAGCTTTTATCATGTTAATTTGGTTCATGTGAGACTGGATTATTTTTATGAAAAGCGATTTTTATATTTGAAATTTCACAATAAAATGTTGTGAAGGTGAAAAAGACAAATATTCATAGCAAAAACACTGTAAGTAAGGGTTATTTTCACAGTATTTTGTTGTGAAGTTTCAAATGTAAAAATCATGTCAAATTATTATTGACACTATTTAACTAACATAATAAATTGATATGGACTTAATGCTTTGTTTGTCTTGTAGAGTAGAGGTAGACCTAGAACTTTTTTTTAAGTAATGACACCATTTAACTATAAAAAAATATAATTTATTTTTATATAAAATTACTATTGGTCTGATGGTTAGTTCTTCGTTTTTACAAAAATATTTGAGGTCACATGTTCAAATTTTTTAATGCAATTTTTTTTTCTAAAAACATAATAAATTTGAAATTAAAAGCTAAAAAACTAAGAAATGACAAACAAGATGTGAACATGTGCCTAGGGTGGGAGAAAGACATGCAAACCAACTCTACCAAGGAAAACTTATGTTATTATTGTAGTTTCAAAATATATACGGTTGTACACAACAAAATGATACGGTGACACCCTTCATGACCCTATAATTTTTTACACTATGACAAAGGAACTAAGTGATGCCTGTTCCGTTGTATCGTATGGAGTGGGTTCCGCCCCTGTTGTAGAGACCATGTTGAATCAATAGATCGTTATCTACTTGGTTGCAAGGCCGTCTCGTCATTATGAAATATCATCTTTTAGTGATGGAATATCAACTTCGTTCTACCTTCTCCTATCTCCGAGTTCTTGATCTACATGGTGGGAGACAAAACCGTAGGATTGTCGAAGGGTGTGTGTCAAGCGGTTTTTTAGATTGCAACTTATTCTCTTTGAAAATTCAAGAACGCTAATTGTATTTTCATATTGCGCATGGTGATCTTTGCGGTAACATCCAGTTTTAACCATCCTACCGGATTGATTCCGAGCTAAAGATCAGTCTATTTCAAGACAATATAGTTTAGGTTCCCTTCTTTTGCTACTTCTTGAGACCTTTCCTTTGCTTGTTTCCCTCTTTGGTATCTGTTCCTTGCAGTTCTTTAGTAAGAATGTTATATTTTGGCTTTTTAATGTTATCATGTCTTTCCTCAAAAAAACATTATCCTAAGTAATGTATTCTTTTACGTGAAAATACTAACATAAAGTTTTACCGGTGGGCTGGAGATGCTCCTAGTAACTAACACCGTATATTGTATCTGAAAACATTTGGATGTTTGGATAAAACATGGTAAAGATCTCTTTTTAAAACCTCACAACCCGACCCTCCCTTTTATTCTACAAGACACCTATTCCATCTTCAGTAATCGCCTATGTTGCTACAACGGTCTAAGTCCAAAATACGGTCAGTACTGTGATTTGAAATAGTGAATATTAGAAACGATTAATAAATAGAGGGAGCAAGGACCACGGTTAATGAACGGAGATGGTTGAATGCTCGATGATGTTGAAAACCTAAATCTTATAATTGCGTACTAGAAAAATAAATAGAAGCTCTGGAATCAGTCGGCTCACATAGTGGATTGATATATTCAGGTTAATCAAAAAAATAAATAAATAAATAGAAGCCCAAATCATTAAAATAGATCCAATATAAGTCGGTTAGACACTTGGACATAAAAAAAGCCCTACCACAAATAAGGGTTACGCGGACCGCTATTTTTGCTAAAGAAATCGGCCATTTAGCGGTGAGTAGCATTGCAATTCTCGGCACCCCTAAATGGTCGCAACTTAGGGACCGTTTACCAAACGTTTACTCTGGTAAATGAACACCAAGTCTTTTTACCAGGACCAAGAATCTTACCCGGTAAGAGCGAGACAAGGACCAAGAGTCTTACCCGGTAAGTGAGGGGACGACTCTTACTATAGTAAGCGTTTACCAGGTGAATTATTGCATATTGACGCTGTTTTAGTGGACTAAAATTGTAAGCCTATTATCACTTGGAAAACATAGAGAGAACGCTGTTTATATATTATAGCAAGCGCGAAGGAAGTTGTTTGAAAAGGACCATATATAATCCTGTTTACCAACTAAAACCAAAAACAACACAGTTGAAGACAAGAAAGGAAGGGAAATTAAGACCTAATAATTAAGCAGTACTGGTTTTCTCGATGAGCTTCTCGATAAGATCTGCTGCATCCTGAACGGTAGCGATGCTCTGGGCACTCTCCTCTTCCACACTGATACCGAACTCTTCTTCAAGCCCCATCACTATCTCAACCTGCAATCAACAATATACGAAATTAACAACTGATCAATGTTTAAGAGAAGACCGGACTAAGAAAATTCTATATATTATAGAATTGAAGTACCGTGTCAAGTGAATCAGCTCCTAGTGCAGCAAACTTTGATTCCCCAGTAACTGCAGTGTCATCATTTAGAGCGAGTTGTTTCCTCACGATCCCACATACCTTTTCCACCGTCTCTTGCTTGGCCTGCCCAAAGACGTGGGATTATGAGTTCTTATGAAAAGAGAAGAAACCCAAATGGGAAAGAAGAGAGCAGCATTATAGTGCAAAAAAGATGCATGGACTCATGAACACCAGCCCATTCGAGCAAACCACACCTAAAACTAAATACCATATCAAACTACGATAATGTGACCATCATAGTATCTCCTCCATGGAATTCCCACATAGTAACATCCTAATTGATTTGATAATCTTTGATCAACTAGTTCATTCATGGATGTTCATACCAAAGCAAGCAGAAGTAACAAAGGGGGAGTCACTTACAGCGCAGGAAACCTGAAGGCGGTGGAATGATAAAGGGAGATTGCTCCTTCCCGAACGGGAAAAAGAAACCAACTTCAGGCCAGAGATCCTGGTTGGTGCCTATATAAAATTTTGGAAGACAGAAGCCATTAGTGTATATATCTGAAATAATAGCAATAGATTTTATTTTCTTGTTTATTATATGGTTGACCCGACCTGCTGCCTCTCGTTCCACAAGCTACAGACGAAAAGTATCCCATCAAGGCCTCAAGTATACCACAAACAAGATATGATATATAGTATTTGTTTCTGACCAACCATCAACTTTTTCTGATTATAGGTTACTTCCTCTATGTCAATAGAATACACCAATTGACTTGGCATATGATTTAATAGGAATCTTTGATTAATGATGGAACACCTTAAATTCCCAATCAATAAGAAAATTTAATCAATCACACTAACATGTTCCGGTAATTGTAATTAGTACCCCAAACATGTAAATTTGGAAAAAGAACTTTCCAGAGAAAGAATATTCATTTTGAGTGACAAAAATTGTTGATTCTTGGCCGGATGGAGCAGTTGTTATAAAGTTCAATGCAGTTATCAAAAGTTCTTCAGATACTTAGAATCCACAACAATTTTAATGCAATATAACCCCATTCCTAAACCCTACCTCTCCTTTTTCCTTTCTCAAAACTGCATGAAGTATCATCTGGATTGAAAATTGACACTACAAGTCTACAACCTAAGCATGATCACCTCCTTCTATCCCAAATAAATGAGCCACCTGGATTTTGGTTCTCTGTACTCAAATATACGGAGTTTTCGTTTTTTATCCAACTTCTAATCAATACTTGCACACTACTGTCGTAGTTTTTCGTTTCTTACACAAACTTTCCTTGACAAATTTCTTCTCACAATCATCAATTATAGGCTTATAGCTTAATAAACGAGACTCATACAATTAAACAAATGGAGTAATTATTCAAAATCGTCATGAAGTAATGTTTCTAACAATCAATGAATGTGTATTTTGGGACTTAAAAGAGTGATTTAACAACCAGAAGCAATACGAAGAGAAATTAAATACAGATTACGTTGAACATATGATATAATAGAAAAAAACAAACTTCGCCTTTAATTAATGATCAAACCAACAAAAAGGTGAAATGAAAATCGATTAGCAGGAAAATAATGCGTTTTGCAGATCACGGTGGGAGAATTTGGTAGAGAGAGAGAGAGAGAGTGGTATACCAGGCATTGTCGTGAAATCTGTTGAGAAGAGAGCAGAGTGGTGAAGGATGCTCCGGTGAACGTCGCCATACGCCGATCCGATGAGGTTGATTTCTGGTAGACTCGGCGGAGAGAACGATGAGTGTGTAAATGGAGAGAGCATTAGGTATATATAGGTAATAAAGGGTAAATTAGGTTCGTGATATTGGGAACTCCGCCGATTAACAGGGTGTTTGACGTTACTCATCCAATTGATTATTGATTTTGGAATTTTAAATTAAATGATAAAAAATTTTAATTTTTCATTTATACTACATTAAATTATTAAAAACCATTTTTTATTTATTAATTCATATTATTTAAAACTCAAGATTATAAGTAGACTTTGTGTAAGTACAACTTATTAAAGGTTCATATTTGAATTCGTGTAACTAACTATAGATAAACATAATCAAATACAGGATAAAGATCTCATTTTAAATATAAAAAATCTAAAATATAATTA